ACTGTGCAAGTAGATGAGGACGGCTCGTTTAGTGAAGACGGAGACTACGTAATATCGGGCGTCAAGGGGACCGGAAGCGAAATAAAAGTTGCTTTTGTCGACCCTGCTGGAAGCATGGCGGGGGCTCTCTTTCCTACTGGGAGACGACGCGATACTATCCATGTAAAGGAGCAAGACGGCAATCGCTTCTCAGTCAAGGCCACCTTGATAGACGCGGCGAATCCTTTTGTCCTTGTCGACGAAAGGACGTTACCACCATACCTAAAGACAGCCAGCAAAGATACTGCTGGCTACCTCAGGCACATGGAGTCGATAAGATGTGCCGGCGCCGTCATGATGGGTCTCGCTCCTGATATAGACGCCGCCGCAAAGGTCCGCGGAACACCGAAGCTCGCCATCGTGTCTTCTCCTCGGTTAGATCATCACTCAAGGAGAAAAGGGCCAGATATCCACGTGCAGGCTTTCAGTATGGGCAAACCCCATCCAAGCTTGCAACTCACAGGCGCGGCGTGCTTAGCGTCAGCAGTGTGCATCGAGGGCACTGTCGCACATGGTGTTGCAGCCGAGAGCAAGGGACAGTCGTCGTGGCGAACACATTCGCCTGAACGGGCAGCGAGTCCCTGCTCAGATTCTGATGAAAGCTCTTCGGGTTTACTACCGAGCCCGAGGACTGTGCGGCTCTCGCATTCTAGCGGGTCGATTGCGGTTGATGTTTTGGCTACGAGCTCGGAATCATCCGCTTTCGTTGATCGATGTATTGTTTCACGGACTGCTCGGCGGCTGTTTGAGGGCAAAGTGTATTATTACTCTTAGTGTGTAAGAGAGATGTAGTAGCTGTACGATACAAGAAGAGAATGAAGAAGTGCTACTTCAGCCATACATGAGATGTGAGGGAGGCTGAAGTATGACATCACATGCAGAAAGGCCGAAGCGCGCCATCACTTGACTGTGCAGCGGACATGTACCTGCCAAGGCCGTAGTAATACGTGTGTGAGGATTGTAGAAGCGTGCACCATGGTCGCGATGTGGCTCGGAATGCAACGTGGGGCGGCAAGCAGGCGTGTAGAGGCAGCGGAGAGTGTTTCAGCAATAAGAAAAACGTGTTCAGAAGGTGTTTGCGTTGTAGTGTCAAACGTGACGAGACCCTGGATGGCTATGGCGGTGCTACGACACCCCTGCTCGCGAGTACCGCTGCTTTGGCGTTTTGGCCCATCATCGACATCCAGCAACTGCATGTCCAGAGACAGCACGTAACCGTCTTGCAATCCCCTTGGCCGTGCCCGTTCGCGAATCCAACACGTCTTTTATTGTTCCCAGCACCAATGCGATAATCCAAGTCGACCGCCATCTTTTTCTACGCTAGCTTTGGACGGATAGGCCACGTTGGACGGCGGCGCAACAGTCGACTCCTGGCCATGCCAACATGTCAAAAGCACCCACGCCCTCATTGCCCCTCTACAATGCCGCCGGCCTGCCCTCCAAGTCTTCGCGGCCCTCTTCGCCCATGCTGCAGCCGCCAGAAGCCCTCAAGCGGAGCACCACGCCCTCAGTACGCCATGCGCTTCCACCGCCACGTCTGCTATGTAGCCCTGGCGACGCCCGCTGACCATGTGTGAACAGTCAATAACATCGGCCCATTCCCTCCTCTCGGCCCAGGACACGGCCCACAAGCTCTCTACGTCGCTGACACACGGCCTCTCCGCCTCGGACGCTTCGGCGCGCATTCACATCCATGGCACCAACGAACTCCCCCACGAGGAGCCCGAACCGCTCTGGCTCCGCTTCCTCAAGCAGTTCAAAGAGACGCTCATCCTGCTGCTGCTGGGCTCGGCTGGCGTGTCCCTCGTACTCGGCAATCTGGAAGACGCCGTGAGCATTGCCGTGGCCGTGACCATTGTGGTGACAGTGGGCTTCGTACAAGAATACCGATCCGAGAAGTCGATTGAGGCGCTGAATCAGCTGGTTCCGCATTCGGCACACATCATTCGCGCTGGCGTGGAGCCATCACGCGGCCGTCGCGTGCCAAATGGTACGGCAAATGAGAGCATAGAGTTGGACAACTTGAAAGACACCACGGCATCGCTGGCAGCGGCAGAGCGCAAGTCTACTACCATATCCGCGACACTGTTGGTGCCGGGCGACCTGGTCTTGTTCCACACTGGAGACCGCATACCAGCCGATATCCGCATCACGCACGCAGCCGACCTCAGTATTGACGAGTCCAACCTCACTGGAGAGAACGAGCCTGTCGCCAAGTCACCAGATACCATCACGCCCCCGCCGGCCGTACAACGACCATCTTCGCCTTTCTACGCCTCCGAAGCCGCTGGAACGGTCGGTGCTGATATACGGTTGAACGATCAGAAGAACATTGCATTCATGGGTACGTTGGTCAGATCGGGCTATGGACAGGGAATTGTCGTCGGCACAGGAGGCAACACCGAGTTTGGCGCCATCTCTGCTTCTCTGCAGCAAATCGAGAGCCCGCGCACGCCTCTACAACTTTCCATGGACCGCCTAGGCAAAGATCTGAGCTACATGTCTTTCGGAGTCATTGCCTTCATTGGGCTGGTGGGACTGTGGCGTGGTTGGAAATTCCTACAGGTCTTTCAGATTGCTGTGTCACTTGCTGTCGCAGCCATCCCCGAAGGACTGCCCATCATCGTTACTGTCACGCTTGCGTTGGGTGTGCTGAGGATGTCTAAGCGCGACGCCATTGTTCGACGGTTACCTAGTGTTGAGACCTTGGCTTCGGTCAATGTCGTGTGTACTGACAAGACAGGTAAGTTGAACAATTCTACCAAGATCCAACATTTACTCACTACCACCAGGCACGTTGACCACGAATCACATGACTGTGACGAAGATATGGCATTTTGACGAAGCATCACCAGTCGATGTCAAGAAGAAGCACGATTCTACGGACCTCGATTCACCTACGCGCAACATACTTCGGATCGGCAACATTGTCAATAATGCTCGCTTGTTGAGCGACCAGGCAGCCTCAGCATCAACTGCTGCGGTACTATCCTCAACTCTTGGAGGCGATGACAATACTGCAGCGAAGAGCCGATGGGTTGGCCAACCTACCGATGTCGCTCTTCTTGACCTCATGGATGCTTTTGGAGAAGACGATATCCGGGAAATGCTCGGCGATCGCAAGTTCGAGACACCATTCAGTTCGGAAAGGAAGTGGATGGGTGTCGTCGTTGGCGGTAGTTCTGGCAATCTCACCCCTGGGTCTGACTATGCATACATCAAAGGTGCACTCGAGAGAGTTCTGGACCGTTGTGACATGTACGTAACGGCACAAGGAAAAGAGGTGGCACTCGACCAAGCACGCAAGCAAGAAGCAATGAAGGCCGCTGACCAAATGGCTCAAGAGGGTTTACGTGTGCTCGGCTTTGCTAGTGGTGCGTCGAGAGGAAAGAAGAGGAATGCCAGTGGCACCGCTTCACCAGCACCATCTACGAACTCGGCCCTTGGCGACGATGAGCAGTACCGCGGTCTCGTGTTCGCTGGATTGGTTGGCATGAACGATCCGCCACGAAAGGGCGTTGAGAGAGCTATCCGAAGACTCATCGCCGGCAAAGTCAAGGTCATCATGATCACCGGCGATGCAGAGACCACAGCAGTCGCCATCGGCAAGAGCCTGGGTATGCCTATTATGCCGAATTCAGCACTCGGGCGCTCGGTTATCCGTGGCGACGAATTGGATCAGATGAGCGAGGAAGAACTTGCACAAGCCATTGCGACAACCTCGATCTTTGCGCGAACTAGTCCTGAGCACAAGATGAAGATTGTCCGAGCGCTGCAATCACGAGGCGACGTTGTGGCAATGACTGGTGACGGTGTTAATGATGCGCCCGCGCTCAAGAAAGCAGACATCGGAATCTCCATGGGTAGATTGGGTACGGATGTTGCGAAAGAGGCCGCAGATATGATTCTGACAGATGACAACTTTGCGACCATTCTGAATGCGATCGAAGAGGGTAAAGGCATCTTCTACAACATCCAAAACTTCCTTACCTTTCAACTCAGCACCAGCGCGGCGGCACTGAGCTTAGTACTCCTGAGCACATTCCTTGGCTTCGAGAATCCGCTAAATGCCATGCAGATTCTCTGGATCAGTAAGTTCCACCTGTACCCATCCCTTTTACATCTACTGACCATCAACCTAAGACATCCTCATGGACGGCCCACCCGCGCAATCTCTCGGTGTAGAACCTGTCGACCCAGCCGTCATGGCCCTGCCCCCACGCCCACGCCAGGCACGCGTCCTGACCCGCCCGCTCATTCAGCGCGTCCTCCAATCCGCCACCATCATCATGCTTGGCACACTCACAACCTATTACCTCGAGATGTCCTCCGACAACATTGTCACCGCGCGCGACACAACTATGACTTTTACCTGCTTTGTTCTCTTCGACATGTTCAACGCACTAACTTGCCGCTCCTCCAGCAAGTCCGTCCTCGCAGGCGAGATTGGCGTATTCGACAACAAGATGTTCAACTATGCCGTGTCGGGCAGCTTGATTGGCCAATTAGCAGTCATCTACTTCCCGCCGCTGCAAAGCGTTTTCCAAACTGAGGCGCTCGGCTTGGGCGATCTCGCGCATCTTGTCGCAGTGGCAAGTTGTGTATTTTGGGCAGATGAAGGGAGAAAGTGGTACGTCAGGTGGAAAGGAAGGAGAGGGTATGGTGGGGGATATAGTACCGTTGTTTGAGTATAGAAGGGTTGGTAGAATGTGGTGGTGTAGAAGCGTTATATCGCGCAATGGATATTGCTGTTACTAACGATGTGCTTTGTGGACAACCATGTTGAAGTGAAGTACGCGGATCTTGAACTGATGAAAGCATAACGAAATCGAAGCATGTCTATCTTCACGGATCGTGAGAGGAATGAGAGGAAAGTATGTTAAGAAAGATCGGACGTTTCGGAGTCCGCGGACGTTCCTCGCTTCCGCACCCACCCCTATCCAGGTATGCACCGCCCACAACGCACTATTGTTCGTAGAGACGCCAAAGAACGAAGAGCAGCGAATGACAAGCGTTCGATACGAAATCGACGTTTCAGTCGTTGAGTATGCGTTTGCGAAGTTCACTGCCACCGCAAAGGGACCTGTGCGGCTCGATCTTACAGCAGGTGGCTCAGCCGGCGCCCATGCTTTACGACCGTTTTGAACTATTACTCGCGTGCTTGCCAAGATCTCAAACTTCCTCAGCCCTATATGCGTCTGAGCCGTCGATGTTTTGTCGTTCTTCTCATCTGCTAGGAAACCTCACGAGACTTTCTGATACCCTCGTTTTGCTTCACCATAGGATACCTTATATTTCTTCTTCGCCCTTGACTTTTCCCAACAGCCCAACTCAACCACTTCGATTTACTTTGACTAGGTCATCATGGAGATAAACCCCGTGGTTAGTATCGCACGCTGAGCAACAACGGTTACCTAACTACGACTAGTGCGATACATGCAAGATGCGAAAGGTCTGCCTTCTTATTCTGCTTTCATGGAGTGACTTCTCGTTGACATCTATTGAAGGTCAAATGCGATCGTAATGATCCCTGTGGCAATTGTGTAGACGGCAATATACAATGCAAACGTACAGCTTCAGCCCGCGGCACAACCAAACGACGAAGAGGCGCTGAAGTCATGCCGGCACATAAGCAAAGCCGACGTCACGAGCTCCAAACATCACCCGCATCCTCACACTCTCCCAGTATGCCTCCATCGCCGTCAATACTGGAAGCTCAGGACTTTATTCGCCGAGAGATCAAGACCGGGAATCATATGCCCGCGGATAGGTTAGCTGTTTTGAAAGAGGCGATGTCCTTTGTGAACCATCTCTCTCAAGTCAACAAGCCATGGGACAATACTAACTCACCTACTGCGCGAGTTCTTGATGTATTGGAAGACATATCATACCCTAACATCGAGGTTCTGTATTGGATGGTCCGTGGTAGGTCTCGTAGTAGCACTCACGAATTCTCACAGCTGACGGTTAATGTTAGACTTGAAAGGACGCAACCTTGGACCCCATGTGATGGATTACTTTAAGCACGTTTCTCCAAAATCTCTCAAGAACATGGGACACGCATTGATTTACAAGACCGTGGATCCTGAGACCCTGCTACTCTATTCAATCTGCGTGAACTCCGCTGCCTTCAAGTTTATCAATACTGTGCTAGAGGAGGACAGTATGGGAGAAGTTGGAGCGGGTATGCTTGAAAGTGCTTCGAAGTATCTCAAAAGTATTAAGCTGGCCATGACGCGTATTCACCTGCTATCTGCTCCTTCGCTTGTTCTTCTACAGTCACTTCTGTGCAGCGTAAGAGACTCTCACCAGCCATAGTAACATTAGCTGAAAGACTATAGGCATTCATCGCGCAGGGCGCTGGAGAGTTGACACATTGCTGGACGTTCATCACAGCTGCTTGTAGAATGTGCGAAGATCTAGGCCTTGAAGCCCAGGTAAAAGCCTGCAGAACCGAGACAGAGGACGACATAGAGATCTACTACTGTTACACATGGTGTCATATCCTTGACAAGAACTACTCCATGATGCAGGGAAAGAGCCGCTTTCTGCTTGAGTACGATGGCTTGGATGCGGCATTGTCGTCGCCCTTCAACAAAGATATGTCATCTCTGCTATCCACTTACTTACACTTCGTCCCTATCCAGGCGATATACATGTCGGAGCTGCATCCAGATCGGATATCGAACAAAAAGTCGCTTCTATCAAGAGTCGAAATTGTGGTCAAGGATTTGCTTGAGAGACTGGAGCGGGTATACACCAGAATAACGAGTGTGAGTCAATGCAGCTTCAAGTTTCAGAAGATGAGACTGATGTGTCTAGTTGCATGCTGCGTCGGAGTCGTGGGGTGGCCTACACGTTGCGAGTGAGCTGGGTACCGTTCAATTCTCATATCATTCGCTCCGGACTTCTATTCTACGCTCAAGACAGATCTGTCAGCCCTCAAAACCGCATATTGACATCGATTGTCTTCAATCCGCGCGTATGGCTATGACTACTCTCAAGGTCATTCAGAAAGAGTCTATGACCATCACTGATGTTCGAGCACATATATCGTATATGCATTGGTGAGCAGCTACCACTATTTCCTGGATCTCAACTAACTGACGAAGGACCGTACTCTACCACCCATTGACGCCTTTCTTCGTCCTGTTCTGTAACATTGTAGCCTCGTCCAACGAGTCAGATTTTGAGTTGCTTACCACCGTTACGTCTCAGCTCGACGGACTTGCGGATCTGAGCCCTCCGATTGCCAAATTACAGACACTCTTCAAGTCATTCCTTGGGCTTTGCGAAGGTCTTGTCACCGGAACCAAGGAGACGTCACCATACGCAGCGCAATGCATGTACCCCCAGCAGACCACCGGACAGGACCGAGCAGTTACGTCTGCACCGCAGCCTCCTGTTCAGTTGGCTGGGGGGCAACTGCAGTTGCCTACGAACACGAATGAGATCAACGCTGAATACCCAAATTTGGTTCAGTCCGCTGACGATGTGGCGATGGAATTTCCGATCGATAATGGTTTAGGCTCACTCGACCCAAGTTGGGATTTGTTCGATACCCAACCTACCATGGGATGGCTGGATGCCGACTTCTCATTCTTTGATGGCAATCAATGATTTAATGACAGACACGGACGTTGTATATTTCACCTCGTTGGTTCGATCAAAGTGTCTGCGCATGATACAGCTCCACTCTAATGATTCATCGATTGACGATTATGGACAGGGAGCAAAAATCCCAGCATGTACCCATTGGGAGCCTCTATGGCCAAACTATCTCTTGCCAAGGTGCCATAGCGACTCCTGACATATATATCCTAGCCATGCGCAACGCCAGAACGACACAGCTCAGAATCGCCAATCTCATACGTACTGGCCTGATCCCAGCCTATCATCTCGCTATAAAATGCATTATCGTATCGAGGGGCTGGTGACGGCAACGAGAATCTTGGCGTGCCGACTAAAAATAGCCGGATCTGGACACTAGTATCTTACACTCGCTGCTGGACGAACACCGGGAGACAAAGTGTTTTCACTGTAGATAAAACTGGAGGAGGGTTTCAGAGGCATCATGTTATCAATTTTGCGCACTCTGCATTCGCACACAGAGAACCGCTTAGAAGTTCTGTTTGGTGATATCAGATACTTCTATTATCATTTCTATACAACACTGCCAGTGCTAGTGTCGTCTGTTTCGAGCCCTTCTTTCACACCGACATGGATACTTCGATTCAACTAGATCACCCAAAGGCTATCTTCAGTAATGGCGACCCAATCACTGGTAATATCGTCATTTACTGCCCTACAAGCATCACCAAGGTTTCAAAAATCACAGCGACCTTAGTTGGTGAGAGTGTACTATCTTATACCGACACAAGCGGCCTTTTGATGGACCGAGAGCAACAAGACAAGTACCGCGTAAGTGACCATGGCATGGGATTTGCTTCTCGATTGAGATAGCTGTCAGACTAATGTATCTAGTTCGCACACGATTTCCAGGTTATATTTCCTTCCCGCCATGATCAGAGGGTTTTAGGTGCCGAAAAGTCAGTAAGACTGGGCTTCGGATATCACAGCTTTCGGTTTGCGTTACGGGTAAGTTGCTTAGTGGTTACACGCATAAGTTATACCCAAGCAGTCGTTACTAAGTGTATATGTAGATACCTGATGCAGTGGAGTGTAGCTCATGCCCTCCAAACTCCCCGGCTGTATCGCCGGTATGCAATGAGAAATATGCAGTCCAGTCGCCATCCTCTTCGCACGATATGCTCCCACCATCAATGCACGATATTGTTGATGGTGCAGCGATCTCATATCGTATCGATGTAGCAGTAACCAGCATACGCAGCATTTTCAAATCGACGATAAAAACGGTAAGCTAGATCATTATCTTGAAGAAGCGCTGCCTCTGACTTGCGTGTGCTGTTGCTGACAATGTATAGAACTTGAACATCACAGTATGGCCTATGGAAACACATAACCAGTATCTCGGCTCCTTGTCCAAGGAAAATAGCACATTTCCATGCGTAAAAACAGTGCAAGCAACTATCATGGGTCCATACGCTCAACTTCCAGCACTAGTCGTCTCTCCGACTGAATACATGCATCACCTCTCCGCGGCCATCCCTCCAGCTCAGATATCAATATCAGCTCATTTACTACCGGATTACTCAATCCTCCGAAACCGCCACATGATGATACGACTCAGCATTTCGAAACTCAATGAATTTGCATACAGCCTCTACCTGCAGTCTTTTCAGATGCTGTTGGTTGGGTATACGGATATTAAAGCCAAGGGTCCGTCTCTTACGAATACGCAGATTTCCTGCTGGACGATTCAAAGCATGAGCAACCTCGGTTTGCCTGTACTCCATTATTCTGAAAGCGTCGGTACCGAAAAATATATTGATAGGAGTCTATGGGAAGGTGAAGCACTGCCAGATACCATTGTCCCAAGTTTCGACTCGTGTGGGTTGGCGAGAAGATATGAATTGGATATCTCCATGGGGTTTCAATGTCGGGATACAAAGGTATGTTCGACATGTGATCAGGAGGATTGTTGGGGAGTGATGGTTAGCCAAGTGTGTACTAATTACGTCTAGGATCAGGCTGGTCGGATACTATTGGTTCAATTGAGGACACCGGTACACGTGTCTTCTGGGATACGTCCCGGTAGGAAGCTTGAGAGTGGGGACGATAAGAAGTTGTTTCTGAACGGAGAGCTGGTACCGATTAGTATGCGTTCACAAGACGATATGGGTACGCAAGATGAGAATCGGCACGGTGCTACCCAAAGGGTGGGTGCTGCGAACGAAGACTACGGCACGCCAATGGATCCGCCGCCTACGTACGAAGAAGCTACCATAAGGTCTTGGTGATTGAGCATAGCGTGCTTGCGTCAAACGTAGCTTGCCCCGTTAGTAAATGAAGTTTCTTGCATTCGTGAAATTACACCTGGGAGATTCTGACGCCACACTTCTCAATAGGCTCAAACCAATATGTCTGACTGAGTTTACCATATGGGTTTCTGTATTTCTCGTTTCTTTCCCCTACTAGATCGCTTCCCCAGAAGGCAATATTTCCAGAATCAAATACCTCCTTTCAAGCGTAGTATTTGTCTTCAACATTTAATAAAAAGTTGAGCTGTCGGACATGACTGGGATTTCGTACGTAATTTTGCGCATATGTTGAACTCTCACTATCGCATAGGAGAAATTAAACGGTGATTTGAAGTTTGGATGGCCATAGACGTTATCATCAACACGATCTGGAAACATGTAAAAGACTGGACTCTCATAGATCTGCTTGGCTGATGGTTCTATGCTGCTAAATTGAAGGAGTATCGACAATGCAGCTTGTGCACACGCAGTTGTTCCCTCAAAACATGTTCCAAGTTTCTGACCGTCATCAACTCTTCCACGGCAAGTCGTTGTGTCGTTCTTGAAGACACTGGGCGCTCCGGCGTTTGTTCGCACTCAGAGTGGCTTTGCGACGACCTAAACACAGTACTTTTCTTGTGTAACCGAGGATGGCCTATCTTGAGCCATGTCGCTCGCGTCCACGGTCTCTAGCTCTTCTTCAGATTGGTACCCGCATACAGCCATCTTATATCAGTTCCACGTCCCCTGTCCCACAGCCTACACACCAAGCCCTTACTGCGCTCCATCTGACAACCCAAACATCACCTCTCTTCATCTCAAACCTGCGATCTGTCCCCTCGACGAAAATTTCCCCAACATCGCGCAACGCCCTCACAAACACCGCTTTGTCTTCATCAGGCTTATCGATCATGCTAATGCCACCTGTCGTATCATCGAGTCGTTGTAGCGATGCCGGAAATTGTGAGAGGAACGAGGATGTGTAGTGAGAGGAGAGGAGCGCTTGATGGGACGTAAGGTATTGGTACTCGGATGGAGAGAGAAGCGGGTAGGGCATCTCGAGGGAAGTCGTGTGCAGCGATTGGATGTGTAGAGGGTGTGAATCGATCTACGAATGTGTGTCAGTATGCCGCTGTAAGGATTCGTAGAGTAGGTATTGTCCCTACCTTTTTTATTCTAGCCCTCAGGAAACTGCGAACCAAGAACTTGAATCGCTCGAGTTCTGTTTGTATGATGATGAGTTTGAAGTTTGTCTTGGGGTCCATGTTGCCCGTTTGGTCTTCGACCAGTTCAATCTGGCTGCGTCATTAGCTATCTTGTGTTGCGCTCGCCGAAGCTTCTAGGCGCTCACCTGTCTCTGAATTCGCTCGAGCACCCTTCCCATAAGTTCCTCGGGCCATGGCAAGATCTCTGGTGCGACTCTCTCTGCAACCCAACACCTCGTCAATTCCTGCAAATCGAGCGCCTCCCTTGGCGTTGACCCTACTGCGACCTCTGCGAGAAGATCGTCGATATCCATGGAGTGTCTCTCACTCCCATAAAAAGCTCCACTGTGTTGCTGAGTTACGGCAACGCGTCGGCCAGTATGCGGCGCGACAATTTTGTTCGTTTCCGCTTGGATCCAGATGCTACGGAAGCGTGTTCGGAAGGCTAGAGGCGAAGGCGGGGATAAAATCGATCGGAGGTGACGCAATCGGCAAGCACCCGAGAGCCGGTAGAAAGTAAAAAGCGAGATCTGGAGTATGTATCAGACTCGATGCATGCGTGTGTTGGCTTGCAGCGAGCGTGCATGCAGATGCACATGTTCGGTGGGGCAGGGATGCGAGATGCGGGGGGCTCTACAGTAGCGTGTCAGTCAACGCCCCAGGTCAGTCAACGCCCCACCCCACCAACACAACAACACAACTTCAACGCGTCATAACTCCACCAATATGGATCCGATTCAAGAAGCGATTGAATATATCGAATCGCGCGAGCCAGGAGATGATTTCTCGTATAACAAAGTTGCTGCCCAGTTTGGTGTTGAGCGCAGTACGCTCGCCCGAAGACACCAGGGTGTGCAGGAGCGGAAGGGCGTCTCCCATCGATCCCTACACCCAGAACACGAAGCCGAGCTTGTACGATATATCGAAACGCTTACCGAGAGACGTTTGCCACCTACAAAAGTCATGATACAGCAGTTTGCCAGCCAGTTGGCTGGCAAACCGGTCTCCGAAAGCTGGGTTGCCCGGTTCCTCCGCCGTCATCCCAACCATCTCATCTCTCGCTCGGGCAAAGCTATGGCCAAGGAGCGTACAAAAGCTGATTCAGGGGCAAAGTACAGCTTGTATTTCAAGCTGTTACACGAAAAGATGGAGGAGTACAACGTCCAACCGATACATATATTCAATATGGACGAAAAGGGGTTTCAACTTGGCCGGGTTGGTAGAACAAATCGTGTATTCAATAAGAAGCTTTACGAGTCAAAAGGGGTAAGGCAAGCACTTGAAGATGGCTCCAGCGAGTGGATAACGGTTGTGGCTTGTATTTGTTCGGATGGGAGCGCTTTGAGTCCAACGCTCATCTTTCAAGGAGCCAACGGAGCTGTTCAATCGAGCTGGGTTGACGCTGTACAAGCAGGAGAACACTCAGTATTTACTACGTCATCACCCTCCGGCTGGACCAACAACGATATTGGGTTAGCTTGGCTCAAACAGGTGTTTGACCGAGAAACTAGACGGCATGCTTCAACTGGGTATCGATTACTACTCCTTGACGGCCATGGATCCCACGTAACCATGGAGTTTATTGAGTATTGTAACGACAACAAGATCCTCTTGTTTGTATTACCCCCTCACGCTACTCATACGCTTCAACCCCTGGACGTTTGTATGTTCAAACCCCTTTCGAACGCTTACTCAACCCAGTTGATGGGATACCTCCAGGACAGCCAGGGGTTACTCAATTTGACCAAAGGAGACTTCTTCCCGCTCTTCTGGAGGGCTTGGGGTAACGTATTCAAACCTCCACTCATCAAGAAGTCGTTTGAAGCCACTGGTATATACCCAGCCAACCCGGACGTTGTACTCGAGAAGTTTGCCCAGCAAGCTTCAGACTCCGACAGCAGCAACTCAGTACTATCGGGGAGCGATTGGCTCAAGCTCAAATCAATCGTACGCCGTGAGGTGAAGGATCAGAGCAGTAAGGACGTCAAGAAGCTTCAACGAAGCTTGTGCCACATCTCAGCTCAAAACAGTATACTCCAAGAGGAGGTCAGAGGCCTCAGGCAGTCCCTAGCCATCAAGGAGAGGCGACCAAAGCAGAGCTACACCCTCCAGCTTGACGAGGACGAGGTTTACCATGGGGGAGCCAAACTGTGGTCGCCCAGGAGTGTACAACGAGCTCGCGATCGTCGGGCATCACAACAACAACAACAGGAGCTTGAAAAGCTTCAAAAAGCCAAGCAAGCCGAGATCAAGAAGGCAGCTCGCGATTGTGATCTTCAACTTAAAGCTTTGAAGCGTGTTGAGCGGGAGAAGGGTTGGGAGGAGACCAGAAAGCGGAAGGCTGCAGAGAAGGCCGAAAGAGACCTCAACAAGAGCCTCCGCGACGCCCAAAAAGCTATACAATTGCCCCCAAAGGGTAAGCGCAAAGCTTCAAAACCTCATAAGCCAGCTGCAAAGCGTCAGAAACGTGTTGGGGGTGGTACAGCCTCTGTAGGAGCCCGGGTAGTTGCACAGCCAGTTCCACCAAAAACCACCAAAACGCGGGTAATCCGCCGCCCAAAAAAAGATTTGGACTAGCGCAAAGTTTTCGCAGGCTATTATATAGTATAAATCTACTTTTGCGCAATTTTATCACGTTTTGTTGAGGCGTTATAGCTGCAATACTCATGAAGCTGTTGTGTTGTGGGTGGGGCGTTGACTGACCTGGGGCGTTGACTGACACGCTACTGTAG